TACAAGTGTTAACCCATACTATCCAAGGTGCAGGGGGGCAGCAGTGGAGGGATTCTCTCATGCACTGTAGTTGTATGATAAACTAGTTTAACATTTAAAAAATTTTAAATTGACAAAGAAAACCTGCATATATTTACAGTTGAGTGTTCTACATGTTTTAATACATGCATACATTATGGAATAGCTAAATTAAGCATATGCATTACTTCGCATCCTTACCAGGCTGGCCTCAATCTCAGAGATCTGTTTGCCTTTGCCTCCTTAACTTTTTTAACAAATTTTCATCACCTGCATACTCTGCAAATTTGTCACCAAGCTCTATGTGACTTAAATCACATTTAGAAATGTTCCCTATATACTGCTTAGAGTGGTAAACTGGATACAGGCCAAACACCTATCAGTAAAGGATGAAATCCATCACGAAGCCCCATGAAATGCAACACTAACCAGTAACGATGTGAATGGATGATGAAATAAAAAGATGCCAATACATACTGTAAAGGAAATAATGCACAAGTTGAGATGTGTATTTTTACTAATTGTGCTGGATAGCTTTGGTGTCAACTTGATACACCTGGGTTGAGGGAGCCTCAGGGGAATTACTTCCGTTGGACTGGCCTGTGGCCATGTCTATGGGGCATCTTCTTGATTGTTGAGTGATGTGGGAGGGCCCAGCCCACTGTGGGTGGTGCCAGCCCTGGGCAGGTGGGCCTGTATTGTATAAGATAGCAGGTTGAGCAGGGGCCAGGGGAGCAAGACAGTAAGCAGCATTCCTCCATGGCCTGTGCTTCATCTCCTGCCTCCAGGTTCCTGCCCTGAGTTCCTACCTTGGGCTCCCTGATGAACTGTGACCTGAGAGATGTAAGCTGACTAAACCCTTTCCTCCCCATGTTGCTGGTGGTCAGAGTGTTTTGTTACAGCAATGAAGAAACAAACTAGGACATTAATGATAGTGTGCTAGCATATAATTTACTGAGGTATACACAAACAATATCTAGGATACATACTGAGCTGGGACCAGTGGGTCTTCTCTTTCAAATGGAGTTAGTGAGAGAGAACAAAAAGGTCAAAGAGGGGGCCTCTTTTTTAAGTAGTATCTCAACTACCACCCCCAACAATGAACACATTGCTTTAGAGAAACTTTAAAAGTGAACATGCATGTGAGTTTACCTATGGCTAAGAACTGGGATAATGTCTTTCCAGAGCGCCTCACAATAGAGGACACAGAAATGACCCCCAAATACTGAGCTACACATCCTAATGTTCCTCAAAATAAAATTCTATTAGTACAAAAATTTTAAAAAATTCTACAAAAATAATTGTATTTAAACTAACTTTTAACCACACTTTATGAGCATTTCGTTGAAAATGAACTCTATTCCATAAATATTAAAATCTAATGTGGTTTAGTCTTCCAAGATCTACACCTATGCTTCTCAACTCTAATATTCCCCTAACTTACCTGGGATGTAGTTAAAACATAGACTCTGACTCAGTGGACTGTGATGGGGACTCAAAGCCCCCATTTCTAAAAAGTTCCATATATTCAACTCTTGAGCAGTAAGGCTCTAGTCCAAGTTCATACTTTACCACTACCTACAATTAGTTTTCGGGAATATTGCCCTTACCCACCCTTGAGGTTTTTCTTATGGAGTGTGCCTTTTCTATCTTTTAATTTAAAAAATTTTTGGAGACAGCATCTCACTATGTAGCCCAGTTTATGATGTCCTAAAACACACCATGTAGACTAGGCTGGCCTCGAATTCAGAGATCCACCTGCCTCTGCCTCCTGAGTGCTGGGAGCAGACCCAAGTCTCTGAACCTTTCCTTTTTTGGGGGGGAGGGGTCTTCCCTGTAGCCCCAGCTGGCCTGGAACTCACTATGTAGACCAGGCTGGCCTCAATCTCACTGAGCTCTACCTGCCTGCCTCCTGAGTGCTGGGATTAAAGGTATGTGCCACCACACAGGTTCTCTGTTCTCTTGTTCTTCAGCCTAAAGTTTTCTCCTCATTCACCACCTCAAAAAAGGCTTAACTCTTTGTTGACAGGTTCAGTTCAGTGCTGTGTCAGGCAGATACGAGTGCTGCTTCTTTGCACTCTCCATGGCCCTAAACAGTGTGTCCCAGAATTCATCACATTTGTTACAGACATACCAACTCAAAATGAGCCTCTTAAGTTTGAGGATATTCCATAAATGCTTTTAGTGCATGTCACTACAATATCAAGTTTCTGACATCACTCTATAGTAAAGTTATCACCATCACTGTGACTTGACTGATTCTATAATATTTTCTTTAAGGTATATTCAGTAAAAACAGGTAATTTTGTACATTAAAATATAAAACATTTATAATCAATATGAAGCTAAAACGTACACTGATAAAATATTTACCTTAACTGCTAAAAAAAAGGGCCATTAATTTTTCCTTATTTTGAAGTAAAAGAGGCAAAAAGATTATATTCTTTGATTTAAATCTTGTATCCTAATTTAAATACTTAAGAATGGCATTACAGGGGCCTAGAGAGATGGCTCAGCAGTTAAAAGCACTGACTGCTCTTGCAAAGGACCCAGGTTCAATTCCCAGCACCCACATGGTGGCTAACAAGTGTCTGTAACTCCAGTTCCAGGGGATCCAACACCCTCTTCTGACCTCCATGGGTACCCTTACATACATGCAGACAATATGCTCATACACATTAAAATAATAAAATAAAAGAATGGCGTTACATTTCTATTGTATCTTCTCCCCTTAAACTGACTGGGACTTTTGCTTATCTTAAATCAAACGCTCACACAGGCAGCAGCCCCCTTGTTACCACTCACCTTCCTCGTCTATCCATTTCATGGTGAATGGCTGTTCAGTGTCAAAAGAACACATGTCTCGAACCTCACTGCAAAGGCCCTCAAAGGAGATGGAAGGCTCAAAATGTGTTATCATAATATCCCTGGAAAAGAAAAGGTTTTGTGTTTGAGAAGGTTTAAAGTTATAATGTTCTACATGTCTGTCAATGTGACAGAGCAGCTATTCTGTGCAGCAACATGTACTACTTCCAGTAAACTGTCTCTGTGAAGATTAAATTAATGAAACAAAATCACGATATTAAATGAACTGAAATTACAATACTTGATTTACGAGAGTCTTAATTCAATGTCTGTCACTAAGAGGCCACCCTCACTGCTCTAACTCCTCTGGGAGGCCTTCTAACTCTGCAGAGGTCGCACTGTCTATAAGCATCTGCCTTCTATTTAACTGAAATTGGTTTCAATTCTCAGACTCAGCTTCCTCTCCCCTACAAGTCTACCCTTCAGCTAAGATAGTCCTTCCATCCCCCGTCCCCCTTTGACTTACCCAGATTAACCACCATAAATCTGCTAACCATTCTTTTATAGTATGAATTCTAGACCTCTTACCTCATTTTCAACTTTCCCCAAAAGAATTAGTGTTCCAAAAAGAGTTTTAAAGTGACTTACTTTAACATAGGTAATCCTCCCCCCAAAAAGGCATGTTTCTAATGAAAGTGTGCTAGTAAGGAATAAATCGTAAACTGTGCATATTAATGCATATTTTCTTTGAATCAGCATCAGATGAACAGTTTAAATAAATTTAACAAGCAGCTAGTCACTCTAACTTCCACCACTGTTAAAGAATGTTCTGAAGTAGAAGCCTAGTGTTTCCTCCAAGCAGCCCTGGGAAGGCGTTCAACACTCTGACCCCACACAGCAGCCACATCTGCACGTCAGTCTCCATGTGCTGCAGTGTACTAAAGGTTTTATAGAGCTCATGTAGTTCATGCCCTTGCTCGGCTTTCAACTCGAGTGCTTATACACTATAGAGTGAAAGACAATGTCCCTAGACAGGTGTGACATGGTTAGTCCAACTGTCACTATGACATAATGTAGAATCACAAGGGAAGGGAGTATCAGTGAGGAACTGTCTGGATTAGGCTGGCCTGTACATGCCTCCTAGACAATGTGTGTTCTACTTAACTTACCAACCACATATGGATGCATCTAGTTTAAGGTAAAGGGTACACATCTATCTCTTTTTTCCCCCTTAGAGTCCACTGATGACAGAAAATGGAAATGGTAATTAGCAAGGCCAGAGTAAACTAAAAAAGCACCAGAAGCAGACCAAAAAGCATAAGAAATTCTGGATGACTGTTATCAGATGGGATAATCTGACCAGGAACACATACCAACTGAAATCAGCCAAGGTAAGAGGAATCTCTTAGAGAGGCTTTACTATTACAAAACTGCATTCTTCTCTCAGCATGGCATCTCACCACATGGCACTCACTTTGTAAGTGTTGAACATCATCATTCACTATACTTAAAAAATCATGTAAAGAGAAAACTATGAACTAAAGAATAGGATAATGTGATAAAGCTCTACAATGTAAAACTTACCAAGAAAAATCAAGATGTAAAGAAAGTGGAAGTGCAAACCTGAAATGTCTTCTTCCTGGTTCAAAGTCAATATACTATCTAAAATGAATAATTTAAAAATACAAGCAGGGGAGGGGGGAACCAATCCAATTAAACATAATCAAAAGATGATTTGAACACATATGATCCAGGAGATACAAATGGCCAATACGAATAGTAAATGATGGTCATTAGGGAAATGAAAATCAAAACCATAAGGTTCTAGGGCTGGAGAGATGGTGCAGCAGTCAAGAGCTGGCTGCTCTTGTAGACAACCAGGGTTTGGTTCCCAGCACCCACATGGTACCTAAAAACTGACCAACTTTAACCCCAGTTCTGGGGATCCTACACCCTCCCCTGGCCTCTGTGGGTGCTGCACACATGTGGAGGCAAAACATACATGCAGGCAAAACACTCATACAAATAAATTTAAATTTATTTATTTTTATGTGTATAAGTGTTATGTCTACATGTATGTAAGTACACTCATGTTGTGCAATGCCCACGGAAGTCAGAAGAGGGTGTCATATCTCCTGGAACTGGAGTTAAGAATGGTTGTTAGCTGCTATATGGGTGCTGGGATGAGCCATCTCTCCAGCTCTGACAAATTTTAAAACCCCCTACAAATTTCATTAGAATGGCTGCCATCAGGAAACAGGCTACTTGTGGGTTAACCACATGGAGATACAAAAATTCTACTACCTTGTTGATGAGATTACAAGGTGGTGCATCAGTCATGGAAAACACTATGCAAGTTCCCCGAAAAATCAAAAACAGAATTGACATGACCCAGCAGCTCTATTTCTAGGTATACATCCAAAATAGATATTTGCACATCTGTATTCAGAGCAGCTTTACTCACAACCACCAAGAGGTGGAAGGAACCCAAGCATCCATCCACAGATGGGTGAAGATAAATGTGGTATAAAGATAGCCTCCAAAAGGAGGGAAATTCAGATATGATACAACAGGAGAACCTTGAAATCATTATATGAAGTAAAATAAGCAAGTCAAACACATACAGAACCAGGGATACAGTTCAGAAGGCTTGTCTAGCCTATAAGCTCTGAGCTTGATTCCCAGCACTGCATAAACCAGGCTTGGTTGCACACACCTGCAATCCCAGCACTCAAGAGGTGGTGGCAAGAGAATCAGAAGTTCAAGGTCAACCTCTACTATATAGTAATTTAGAAACCTGCCTGAGAGATGTTGAGAGAGAGAGAGAGAGAGAGAGAGAGAGAGAGAGTGACCATATACACATAGAAACCAAACATGGTATGACTCTACTAACAAGGTATCTAGAGTGTCAAATTAACTGAAACAGAAAGTAGAACAGTACTTATCATGGTCTGGGAGGAAGGAGAGGTAGGGAATTGTTTAAGTGGATATGGTCTTAATTTACCAACTTAATAAAGTTCTAGAGACTGGCTACCCAACAATTTGAATACAGTTAATTCTACTGAACTGTACACTTAAAGATGATTAAGATGGTAACTTTCATGTTATTATTTTAACCAACCACAATTAAAATTAAAAATTTGGGGGAAACATGTAATTTAAGCGGCAAATGTAAAAGAATTAAATAGGGTAAAGAGAATACGCTAAATTCTCCATCTTTCTTATCGAGCAACAGACACGATAAAACACAACTGAACTTGAAAAGTGGTTAACCCAGGGTGCAGAGCTCGGAGCTGAGGGAAAGACTGCGAACAGAAGAAACATGCTTTTATCCCAAAGCATTCTGAATGGCAGAGAATATTAATCTCTTTACCATGGAAGGGTATTTCATTATAATTTATCTTCAAATTAAACACAGATAAAACAAATTAAAAATAAGTTTCATAAAACATTTTAAACTTAGAGGCTGTGGATGTGGCTCTGTTGGTGGAGTGCCTGCCTACCATTCACAAAACCCTGGCTTAGATCCCCAGCACCATATAAACTAGGTATGGTGGCACAGTCCTATAGTCTGGCACTTTGGAGATGAAGACAGAAGCAGCAGAGAAGTTCTAGGTCATCCTTCGCTACATAGCCAGTTCAACACCAGCCTGGGCTACACAAAAACCTATCTTTAAAAATTCAAAGCCTTTGACAGGGAACTGACACTGATTCTAACCACTCCAACAGCTATCAAAATACCTGAAAGTAAATCCTGAATCCATCACTCTAGAGTCCAGCCTTGACAAAAGAAAAGAAGAGAAAAAAAAAAATGAAGAGGAACCCAATAGAGGGATGCTTTTGGAAGCCCTTGTCAAGAAACTCCAGTGGACTCTCATGAACATTTGAAAACTGCCTTGTTCTTTTTTCTAGTTCCCTATCTAGAACTTGTAATAATAACTCTTGCCTTTACTTCTCCTTCACATCTCCTATTAAAGATTCAAGGACTTTCTTTTCTCCCTCTAGAGATTAAGAGTTATGCAATTTTGGAGTCTTTTAGATAGACCCACTGAAGGTGTACTCCAACTGCCTCACCCTGTGTCTGTTCAGCATGGAAGAAGCCAGAGTGGTCTGTGTCCTGATTCCCAACTGGCAATTTGGGTAACCTCCTCAGAAGATGGTGTGATAAGAAGAGGAGATAGGAATTCGCTAGGCAGTTAAGATAAAAAGACCCCAAAGAAGCCTGGCTTGGTGGTGCACACTTTTAACCCCAGCACACGGGAGGCAGAGGCAGGCGGATCTCTGTGAGTTCAAGGCCAGCCTGGTCTACATAGTGAGTTCCAGGACAGCTGGGGCTACAGGGAGACCCTGTCTCAAAAAGACCCAAAAAAAAAAAAAACCAAAAGAAAAGAAGCAAATTTCTTGGCTAAAACCCACAATGTCCTTTGGCTTCTTAGCAACCTACTCCATTCCAAAGGCCAAAAATGTCAAAAATATTTGGGCGCTTTTATCTAATCCTTAAAAGATTTTAGGGTTACCTCTAAGGGGGAACATTAGAGTAGCCAAAAGCCCCATAAAAAAATAAAGTAAATCAAAGAAGAGTACATGAAGTTATCAGAAAAAAGTGATGGGGAGATATGGGAGGAGTTGGAGGGGAGGGAGTGGGCATGGATTTGATCAAAACACCTTATATACATGTATGAAATTCTCATTATTTTTTGTAAAAGAGTATTAATTTAAAAAAAAATAGAAAGGGCATGGTGGTGCATGCCTTTAATCCCAGCATTAGGGAGGCAGACAATCTCTGTCAGTTCAAGGCCAGCATGTTCTCCATAGTGAATCCAGGCCAGCTGGGGCTACAGGGAGACCCTGTCTCAAAAAGATCAAAAAAAAAAAAAAAAAAAGAGAGAAGAAAATATACATGGGAAGTAGTTCCTTCTAACAGCAATAAAACAGAATTGCTTGCCTCAAAGCATTCTTTCAAAGCACCTTCCAGGTAATTAGGAGGAGATCGTAACGGCTGAGAGGAGTACATTTGGACCATATTTTGGGATTAAAGTAGAAGAGAATAAAAGAAAGGGCTCTTAACGAATTTCTGTGTCAGGCTGGAGAGATGCTCAACAGTCAAGAGCACTGGCTATTC